CTGTCCCAGTTACAGCTGGGTTCTAACACATCTAGACTAGACTAGTTTCAACCACTCCTATTATTTAACTAAAACAGTCCTCTGCACCGCTACATATAAATAGTTCCTCAAGCAGAAGATTTTGTGCCTAGTTTTGCTTGTCTGTGTTTCTTGACACATCTCAACCCCTATGATATGGAGGTTGGGGTCGCCTGATCTTACATACATTCAGAACCTGATGGCTGTGTGAAGTCCCTATGCCTTGCTCTTCCTGGTCTCAGGTAGAAGCTTCTGGAGCATTCCTGACTTATGTTTCTCTTCTAGGTGTCCATTTGGCCCTTAAAGGTGCTGGAGTGAGTCTACATGGGGCCATGGGAACTAAATAAAGCTCCGCTTCCTCGGAATAACCAGCAGCTAGTGCAGGCTCGTGGTGGGTAAGAAACCTTCTGGCCTCTCTGGGAAAACAACAAAACGGCCAAATGGCAGATGGCATCATACAGCAGGAGGTAGGACCCTGAGGATGCAGTGGCCCAGAATTAGGAGGCCACAGTGGCTTCTATGGAGGATTTGGCAGCGGTCTTAGGGGCCTGTGGTCATGGTTGAGGTTGTGGCTGTGGTCAAGGCCCTGGGATCATGGAGGTAAAGGCAAAGACAAAGAGTATATCCCTGTCACCAAGCTGGGTCACCAGGTCAAGGACATGAAAGTCAAGTCCCTAAAGGAGGTCTAACTGTTCTCTTGGTCCATTAAGGAGTCAATAGTCTGAGATTATCGACTTTTTCCTGGGCACATCCCTAAAGGATGAGGTTCTGAAGATCCTGCTGGTGCAGAAGCAGACTCCGACTGGCCAGTGGACCAGATTGAAGGCTTTTGTTGCTATTGGGAACTACCATGGTCATGTTGGTCTTGGTGGTAAGTGCTCCAGAAAGTTAGCCATTGCCATCTGAGGGGCAATCGTCTCGGCCAAGCTTTCCATCATCCCTGGGTGGAGAAGCTAACAAGATTGGAAAGCCCCACACTGTTCCATGCTAGGTGACAGGCTGTCGTGGTTCCATGTTGGTACGTCTCCTCCCTACCCCTGGAGACACTGGTATTGTCTCTGCTCCTGTGCCCAAGAAGCGACTGATGATGGTTGATATTAATGATTGCTACATATCAGCCAGGGGCTGCACTGCCACCCTTGGCAATTTTGCCAAGCCTACCTTTGATGTCATCCGAAAGACCTGCAGCTGCTTGACCCCCACCTCCGGAAAGAGAGTGCCTTTACCAAATTTCCTTACCAGGGATTCACTGACCATCTTATGAAAATCCATACCAGAGTCTCTGTTCAGAGGACCCAGGCTCCAGCTGTGGCTACCACACACAGGTTTTTATACAAGAAAAATAAGGTGAATTATGTCTTTTTAAAAAAGAAGATAGAAACTTTCTAAGAATGAGGCCCAGGTGCACTCCCATGAAGGCTCCTGATTGTCTGTAACTCCAATCCTAGGGGATTCAGCAGCCTTGGACAGTTTCCACTGGCACCAGGCTCACAAGTGGTGTGCAGACCACATGCAGGCAAACACTCATACACATAAGTAGGAAAAGAGTCATTCTGAGAACGAATGTACTAGAGCAATAAAGCCTAAATGAAGTGTTGGAGGAAAAAGAGTCTTTTCTCTCTTTCCTTATCCCCCTTTTTTCTTCTTTCCTCCCTCTCCTCTTCCTCTAAAACAAGCACATAGTTCATATCTGTCTTAGTTAGGGTTTCATCATTGCTGTGAAGAGACACCATGACCACAGAAACTCTTATAAAGTAAAACATTTAATTGGAAGTGCCTTAGAGTTTGAGAAGTATAGTTCATTATCATCATGGCAGGAGCATGGCAGCATGCAGACAGAAATGATATTGGGTGAGGTGAGAGTTCTACATCTTGATCAGCAGGCAGCAGAAGACAGTGTCCCACAATGGGTGTAGCTTGAGCATATATGACCCAAAGCCTGCCTCCACAGTGACACACTTCCTCCAACAAGGCCACACCCACTAGTAGTGTCACTCCCTATGGGCCAAGCATTCAAACACATGAGTCTACGGGGGCCATACCTACTTAAACCACCACAATATCTAAGGGTGAAGATAATTATGACATAGGTGGAGGAGGAAATGCCGTGCTTAATAGGTACAAGTGGAAGGGGATTTTAACCTTCAGTGTGAGCTTGTTAGGAAGGTGAAGGGCTTGAGGGTGTGAGGGCAGGTGGGGCAGACTGCAGGGGAAAGCTAGCCACGGGAAGAGAAGAACTTCCTGATGCAGAGGCTCAAGGTCCAGTGCAATGCATCATGTTTGTAGGACTGGAAGAAACTCAACAGCTCTTAGGGCATGGGACAAGGTGGGAGTGGTCAGAGAGGAGACCAGAGAGAGAGAGAGAAAGAGAGAAAGAGAAAGAGAGAGAGAGAGAGAGAGAGAGAAAGAGAGAGAGAAAGGCGGGCTTCAGTGGTCCTATGGCCAGCATGGGGCTGGCTTTATTTGAAGGCACAGAAAGAGTGATTGGAGAGCTGGAGAGTTGAGTGACAGGGAGTCCTCCTATCTACAAAATAGAGTAGGAGTGAAGATGAAATAAAATCTACGTTTGACAGATAAGGGCCTGGCTCATTCAGTGTGGTGGTAGGGTCCAATGTCAGGGTATGGGAAGGCTCAAGGAAGGCTCATCTTTTCAAGTAACTTGGGCTAGAAACTCAAACCACAGAAGTGTATGTTAATGCCATTGTCTTTGACATCAGCCACTATCTCTTCCTCAAGGACAGGTATAAGGGCCGTCTGGATGTGAATACAGAGGCATAAGAGAACCTGGGCCAAAGCTGCCTTCCCTGTGAGCAAAGAGTCTGTGGAAAAAGGCAGGCTCAGGGTGACCAGGCAAAGACAGCAGGGGCAGACTGAGGAACGTTCCTGAACATTCTTGTATGCTGCTAAGACAGCCTTCCCCTGGAATGAACACTCAGCAAATGTTTAAATTAGCTTGAAGCCTTCCCATCCTGTATTTTTCCCTCCTCTGGAATCTTGGGATAAGGAAAAATTTAATTTTTCAAAAGCAAATTCAAAATTATAATTTTATCCTTGGAAGGTAAGTATGTGAGCAATAAAAAGCAAAATGAAAAACAGTGTCTTTTGCCATGAGCACAAGGAAGGCAAGTTGACAGAATTATCAATATTAGATGTTGTTTATATCTGGCGGCAAGTCACAGGAGGCTGAGATAAAACTGAAGCCTACTGTGGGGCTGAGGTAGTGGGCCAGAACTATGTACACAGCTAGAGCCCTGTGTGTTAGAGCTGCCCACATTGGCTCTCACAGGCCTGATACTCACATAGTGGGCTAGGCTAATCTTCAAGCCCCAAGAACTTACCTGTCTCTGCTTCCCAACATGAGATTACAAGTCTGTGCCACTTTGCCTTGCCTTAAACAAACAAACAAAAAAAAGACAAAAAAACTCAGGTTTTGTGTATCAAACTCAAACAGATTCTCTTGCTTGTATCTGAACCACCACTGACAAGTTTACATGGCAGTCACTGTGACCACTAAACCATCTACCGGGTCTGGTTTTGCTTTTCATTCCTTCTGGACTATTCCAGTGCATCAGTCTTCGCTCGGAAATATGATAGAAGACCCAAGCTTTCAGTGATATGTCTTACTTATTTTGGTTGTTCACTCATTTGTTTTTTGAGACAGGGTTGATATGTAGCTCAGGCTGATCTTAAACTCTGTTTTCCTGGCCCCTGTGCTCTAGTGCTGGGATTACAAGCCTGAGTCACCCTTCTTGGTTCCCTAACCTAATGTATACAATTGTTTGCAAACCTCAGCTTATAATTCATTAATGGCTCAGAGAAAACGTTTAAATCATTTTTAAATTTTTAAATTAAATTAATTAATTACTTCATTTTGAGACAGGATCCAAGAAGCCCATCCTGCCTTTGAGCCCCTGGTCCCTCTGTCTCTACTTTCCTATTGCTGGAATGACAGGCACACACCACCACAGCTAGTTATATACTGTACTGGGGGTGAGGGGGTGGGACCCAGGGCTTCTTACGTACTAGACAAACACTCAGCTCACATCCCAGGCCGATTCCTCTGCTCTTTATCCCACCAGTCTGCCTCAAGTTGCTCCCGCATTCTTTTCCCTTCTGGGGAAGTCTAGCTTGGGGCTGCCTTCCTCCCGGTGTGAGTTCAGATACCATCTTTTCAGGTCAACTTCCTTACACTGTATCCTAAAGTCCTGTAGGAGTCACTCAGTGGATCAACACCGGGTTTTCAGTGATTCCGTAAACAGTTTTTCTTTTCTTTTCTTTTTTTTTAAAGGTCCCCAGAGACCCCACTCTTGCTGGTTATCACTACACTAGCTGGAGGTGGGGGTGTGAAGGGGCATGTAAGCAGTGGGAGGAATAAAGGGTGTTGGCTGTCTGGTTCCCTTCTAAGTTTTGGGTTGACGTTTAACCCTCATACCAAGTAAACCACAGCGAGGCTGTGTTGTCTAAGAACTTCCTTTATCAAGATTTATTTATTTATTTATTTATTTATTTATTTATTTATTTATTTATTTATTTATATTTGAAGCAGGGTCTTACAGAGCCCTGTTTAGCTATGAATTACATATCCCCCTGCCTCTACCAACACGACTGGCTTTACCCGGGTTTTTTAACTGGGGTCTGATGCGGAAGGGCAGGCGCTGTCTCCTCTGCGGGCATCCCCCGCCCCTGTGCATCCCGGAGGAACCTGGTGCACGCAAGGTCCGGCTTCTCAGCGGCAGCCTTGGGGACTGTCCCTTGGGCTAAGCCAGACCAGTGCGGAGGGAGAGGTCTGGCAAACAGCAGCGCCGCGGCAGGTGTCCGGTCTCCAGGGGCGGGTGCTGCCGCAGAAAGCCGCGGCCCAGCACTGCAGCCATCTTCGGGGTGGAGGCGGAGAAGGGGCGCGGCCTTGGCCCGGAGCCGCCCCGCCGGAGCGGTACACCGCGGACTTCCCTGCTCCCGCGGCGCCCGGCCGCGCAGAGGCCGCCATGGGCTGTGCGCGCTGGCTGGCGCTGGGCGGCCTCCTGGCCCTGGCGGGGCTGCTGCAGGCCCGGCTGCTGCTCCCGCAGCAAGCGGGTTTTGGCGAGTGCGACCGCTTCTTCTACGCGGGGACCCCGCCCGCCGGGCTGGGGACCGAGGCACACGTGAGGATCTGTCAACGCTTCGCGGGTTCCGAGCGCTTCGCTACTCTGTACAGCCCGGGCCACCGCATCCCCGTGTTCTCCGCGTTTCGCGCTGCGCGCCCCGCGTCCCGCAGTGCCGAGCAGCGCGGGCTGCTGGAGCCGCAGGTAAGCAGGGCTCGGCCGCCCGGGGATCTGAAGTTCAGATCCACCCTGGTGTCTCACCCACCCACCCCCAATTGCAGCCTGCCTTGTCCCAGTGGGAGTCTCCACTTCAGCCGCAGGGGCGGGAGGTTCCCTAGGGAGATGGCCCTCCCTCCTCTTGGGCTCAGACGTCTGCAGTGTCTGGTTGGTTTCCTGGGTAATAGAGAACATGGACTGTGAGACCGCCCTTGGTGGCCAGGCAGATCCACGGGAAGCACAAGCTTCCCAGGCCCGCCCACGTCCCCTCAACAACATAGGGGTAGTGGGCAAGTTCACCCCATTTTACAGGAAGCAGCTCCAGGCAAGGAGGTTGAAGGAACTTGCAGAAGACCACCCAGCTAGTGAGATGAGTCTTGAAGCTAGAAAAACACTGCCCTTTCCGCTAGGGGAAAGCTTCTGACAGTGCAAGGACTTTGAGAAGCTCAGTGGGGTAGTACCCACGCAGAAAGGACAAACCAGTTTTTCCTGACTCTTCGTATCTGTAGATTATCAGACCATTGCAATCATGTCACCTTTCACAGTGTTGGGTCTGTCTGGTGGCAGGGATCAAACACAGAGAAAGGCTTCTATGGGCCATTGCAGAACATGCTCTTCTCTGCCAGGTTTCCTCGGTAAGACACCCTGTCCTGCCTGTCTTTGACCTCTCCCCAGTTTCCAGCCTTGTGTGCTCCACAGCTCTTGGTCCCTGCGGGCCACCAATACAAAGCTTCTGGCTTTCAGGTGTCTCTACCTGAAAGTGTGGGCTGTAGCTTAATCATATTTCCAGCTACCATTGACGAGGCAGGTTACAGCCAGTCTGCACCAATATTACCTTCTTATATCCTTCCGTGCCCAGCGGCCTGCTGTAGGGACCTTTGAGCTCAGGCCAGTAGAAGAGTGTGTGCGTATATGAAACACAAATGCTGATCTAAACTTACTTCCCTCAGCGTACCCCTAGAAGTTCTTTATGTTTCCCAGGTCTGGGAAGAAAGCAGCAACTGAATCCATTCTCACTAAATTCATTAGAATCTAGAGGAGACAAACATAACGGGGTGAAATCATGAGAATTCTGAATATACCCGGTGACCACCTGCTGCCTTCCTGTGTGCATTCTAATCCTGCTTCCTGGAGACTAGCTGTTGACCCTGTTGACTGGTGAGGGCTCCAAGTTCTCCAGAGACCCATAAGTACTAGCTGCTGTTGTGATGTTCACAAAACACATAATTTAACGAAGGTAAACAGAGACCTGTTAGATTGAATCTGTTGGTAAGGTGATAGGGGAACGCTTAGGGTCTGCTTGGCGTCTGTGCTGAGTGTGGAAGGATTAGTAGGGTGCAGGAGGGAGAGGAGGAAGGAATTTCAGACTGGTATTGTATGAGATGGGCGTGGCAGATTCTTGAATCATTGCTTGGGAATGAGTGGGGCAGGTAAGCTAATACTGGATTATGAGCCCTGGAACCCAAGGACTCAGAATAAAGAGGAATCATGGGAGGGCGGAGCACTGAAGGAGTCATCCGAGGAGACTTAGGCAGAGCCTCGGACCTGTTATTAAGGGAGTCATAAGGAACAGGGTTTGACAGTGAGGCTGTGGAGACCCTAGGTGGAGTAATGGGGTGAGGCTGAGAGGTCGTGGTGGAGTTCCAAAAGGCAGCTGGAGCTGTGACATGCCCTGACTTCTGAAAAGTACTGGAGGCCTGGGCTGTGACTCAGAGGGTAGAGTGTTTGCCGGACATACTTAGCCATACGTTTTTATCCCCAATACTGGATAAAATGGGAGTCACTCATATAGTTCCAGCACTCGGATCTGAATGTCAAGGTCATCCTCAAGCTGCATAGTGAATTCTAGGCCAGCCTGGATTTCAAGAGACTGTCTTAGAACAAATAAGTTCAGCACCCCACATCCTTGGAGAGTTGCCAAGGTTGAGGACTAAGGCTGTTTTTCTCTGCAAGATGGTGGGCTCCACAATACCCTACCTAGAAGTCAGCAAGAGGATCCAAAGAACACTGAAAGGAAGGGGAAGGGAGAGGAAGGAAGAAGAGGAGAGAGGGGAGGGGAAGGGAGGAGAGGGGAGGGAAGGAAAGGAAGAGACACAAATGCAGGTGCTCTATAGAGCCATTGCAGCAGGCTGCCCCAGCTTCTGTTTCAACACCAGCCTCTCAGCCAATGATTGACTGAACTGTAAGTTTTGCTCAGGGCTCTGTGTGCTTCTAGATGCTTCCAAGAAGTTTCTATTGCCAGTCCATTTGTGCTCACATCACCTTATGAGGTCAGCATGATCAAGAGGTCCAGGAGGAAGAGTTCAGCGCTGGACAATGAGTCAGGCAGGATGGCACCCAGCCCAGCTGGGCAGCTCTCAGGCAGCCTGCAGTTTTCCCTGAAGAAGGCTTCTGAATGGAAGATGCAGATGTGGTCACAAGTGCTTAAGACCTTTGAGGTGTTGAATAACACCTTGGAGACCAAGTTCAAGCAGCAGGCCCAGCACTTTGATTTACAAGAGCCTTTGGGTATTGGGGATCCTAGTTCCTGGCCAGGCTCTATCTGTCTTGTCACCACACCCCATGGGAATGTTGCAAGGCTGGATTACCTGTGGTCCCCAGGAATGCCTTTCTTACATAGTTCCCATGAACCCTGACCTTTCATCTTTTCCCATCCCATCCTCACATCTTTGCTGGAATAACTTCTTCCCAAAGTACTCTCCAGCGGAATAGATCCTCTCCCTAAGCTGGGACTACACTCCTAGGTTCTCCTCTGCTAATCTCCGTCTCCTAACCTCCACAGGGTTCTTGCCATGTAGCCCAGGCTGTCCTCAAGTCCACCATCCTCCTGCCTCTACCTTTCTAATATGGGGATGGTGAGCCACCATGGCTGATTTTTTTTGTTCTTCTCCCCCTCTTCCCTGTCCTTCTGAAACGGTTTCTCTGCATAGCCTTGACTGTCCTAGAACTCTGTGTAGATCGGGCTGGCCTCAAACTCAGGGATCCTCCTGTCTCTGCCTCTTGAATGTTGGGATCAGTGGTATGTGCCACCACACCCAGCTTTGATTTCTTCATTTTTATATTTACTACCATATTTTGTAATTGCTTGTTCTGTCTGTCTGTCTGTCTCCCCTGCTTGAGCCCCAGAATTCCAGCTGAGGACATAGGACATTAGGTTACTCATTCTTGCATACATAGAGCTTGCTTAGCACATAGAAAGACTTTAATAGGTGATGAATGAAATAGCCATGAGCTTGGTGGATCACTCAAGCACAGTGGGAAGTGGCTCTGCTCGGATGTTTTTGGTAGTGTGCTTCTCTGGGTCAGGAACTTGTCTTTATTGTTGCCAAGGAGCCCTGCTGTCAACACACTTATATGGGTAGAGCCCAGAACCTTTCTCTGTGGCCTCCCATCCAGCACTAGCTCTGGGCCTTGAAACATTGCAGTGATTTGTTTCCCATCTGTGTTCACAGGCCCCAGGGTCCCCAGCCCTACAGTCTGGGGATAGAAAGCTTTGAGGGACAATGGAGAGGGAAGCAGAGAAAAGCCTGAGGTCTGCTGAAGAGCAGCAGATGGGAAAACCACCTTGTGTTTGAAGATACCAAGATTCCAGAATCTGAGAGCAGTGTTAGATTTTAGGAACAAGGTCAACACCTTGATGACAGATGGAATTTTTTTTGTATCTTATACTAGTGTTTTCAAAGTATATTTGTGCCCAATATGAATGACCCTGTCTTATAAACACAAACACTGAAGGGCACTGGCCTTACCAGCAGTGATGACGGTGTACATTATTGATCTTAGAAAGATACACAAAGATAGATTTGTCACTGTCTCCTTGTTATTGACATGATAGATTTAGCTCGTGTCTAACTGGAGTCTGAGGCCATACAGTTTATATCTGAACACAGGACCCGTTCCTTGTAGTCTAGCAGTCTTAAATACACGGGGACTCTCCTATTTCTTTCACATGAGACTTTTTTTTTAAAGAATTATTTATTTAGCTTATGTATGTGAGTACAATGTATCTATCTGTCTTGAGACACACCAGAAGAGGGCATCGGATCCCATTACAGATGGTTGTGAGCCACCATGTCGTTTCTGGGAATTGAACTCAGGACCTCTGGAAGAGCAGTCAGTGCTCTTAACCACTGAACCATGTCTCCAGCCCCCAACATGAGAATCTTAACTTTTATTCTTCCTCTTTTCCACTGTCACAGACAAGTGAGAACATTCATCTAGATGTGGAAATGCTGTTCAACTTCCTCTGGTTCTGAAGTGATGGGGATGTTTCTGGTGTGCCTTGGAAGGTCACATTTCATATCTTAGCAAATGCACATGAAGTAGTCTCACTTAGAACCTGGAGTCCTCCATCTTTAGTTTCTGAGAGTTGCTTCCTGCCTAAACACCCAGAAACAGTTGGCCACAACATTTAATGTAGTGTAGTTTCAGGCCCTCTTCATTGCATCAGAGATCAGATTGTAGAAGCTGACACACATGTAAGTCTCTGTGTAGAGGGTACAGCAGACATGGGCCTCACTTCTTGACAAAAGGCTTGGTTCAGATTCCTGGCCTGTTGTATACAAGCTGTGTGACATGTGTCTGCCACCCCTGTTTTCCCTGTTTATTAGTGGCAATAGTGGCATCCCCTGTAGAGTGGAACTGTGACAATACACAAGCCCATGTAATAAGCATGCAGTGTAGCACTGGAACTGTACAAACGTATAGTAAGTAGTAATGTATGTATTTTGTCAAGGCCTAAAGGGTTCTGGATAATCACAAATGTGCACACACTGGGCTAGGTGGATGCCTTTTGCACTCCCACATAGACTTGTGAATGATCTCAAACTCTACATCCTACATCATGTCAGTGCTCAGAGTGTGTATGGGGAGAACCTGAAGGGTGAGAAATTGGATGCATGTGTGCATGATGGATGTGTGCATGGATGGATGTGTACATGGATGGATGTGTGCATGATGGATGTGTGCATGATGGATGTGTGCATGGA